ATTGTACATTTTAAAAAAACATAAGGATACTTTTCATAATTATCTCAAGATGATGATACCTGTTTCTCAGAGTCTGTCAATCTACTCCACAACTGACCGATCTTTTTACTGATGGCTCGTTCTTGGCCATGGTACATCGGCCTAAGCCTATGGTACTGCTCGGAGAAAAAGAAAGTGTAACCACTTCGGCTTCTTTTAGGGCGAGCTGGATCTCTAAAAGCCATGTGCTTTCTCCTCATACGACGATGATGAACGGGCTCCATAGAAGCACTTAAACTCATGGATGCATTTTGTGCCTCGGGGGAGTGATAAAGTATGCCTTGCAAATTCTCACCTCCAAAATTAACAGTTACCATATAGCCGAAATCAAATTTTCCATCAATTGTTCCTGTCACAAGACTGCTTTTCTCCAGGTTTTGATTCTCTGTATACGACATTGGTTATCGCTTGTTAGTTTTAATATATATACACACATTATTTAGACCATGTTGATTAAAACTTTTTTTTTCCTTAGTTTTTTTTCAATAAAAGAAAGTTATGCTCGTGCCCTTTGGAACTCAACTTATTGATTCTTAAGAGTGAATAAGAATATGTAGAAAAATTTGAGGCAGTTCGAAAGAGTTTTGTAGTTGATGAGATGGAATATTGTGAAATAATGCTAGATGTAACTGGTGATAAAAAAAAAATCAGTTTGTCGAAGAGAGATATTTCAGTAAAATCTTGAAGTACGAAAAATCATACATAAAACGAGCAACAAAACAAACAATCCACCTGTAAGATGATTGGATGCGGGCCCATCATGAGCATGTGGAAGTGCAGGTATATCCGAACTCCAAGTTGCTTAATTTATTTAAAAAAAAAATAAAAAAATTAATTAGTATTTGGGCAATAAGGATAAACTCAAAGCCATACACGAACATAACCATCACATAATGTTTTGAAGGTACCGGGAGATGAAGAAGTGTTACGCTCTGCTTTTCGGAAATAATAAACCTGCTCAAAATGTAAAAGCAATGACAGATAATACTTGCGCAAGACAAACGAGGCATTCGTGATTGTGGCTGGAAAATGAAAGGCTCCAATAACTTCCTTCCATCTGCGATCTTTAATAACCTGTATATATTAAAATGCAAGAGTTTGGAAAACTAATTCAGAACAAGAAAAGTTGATTCAAACCCCTAGCCGAGCAAAGCCAACAAGTAGATCCAATTACAACACAGCAGTTACACAAAATCTTCTATTTGCTGCAATTTAGATAAGTACGTATCGAAAAATCAGTATAATCTGCCTCCATTAGACATGATGGAGAATAATTTTGTCCAATCGGGGGGATTGTAATGATATTATTAACGGTTCTTATTCAAATTATTTCTTTATATTTTAATCTCTGTAATGTACAAGCAAACATGTAACACAAGATACAGTAATTTGCCAATGTAAAAGAAAGTGCACCTTTTCAATGCCACCACGAGAGGTCACTTCTAAAAAGAGACGATGTAAATCCAATTTGTTTCCTCCTAAAGTAGGAACTCTACACAAAAGCAAAAAGAAAGGACCAAAGATTATTAAAAATATCGTTCTCTATACACGATAATCCTCCAAATTCTATATGAAAGAGATAAACGGGAGAAGCATAATATCACTAAAACATGGAGGTGAGACTATTTAAAGAAAGATATATGACACAGTGAAGCTTTTCACAGACTAGATCTGAAAATCAAACCATCATTTTTTCAATGGCTAACATTTTTTCATAGTACAAATAGAACTCATGTCAATGGCTAACATTTTTTGTTGCTTTTTCAGCTTTCCTTATCACAGATCCATTCTTTTATTTTTATTTTTAAATGAAGCTTGCCACATCTAGTTTCAGTAGGTAATATATTCGAACCCTGCCTTGAACCAACACCAGCGTGAATTACTGTTTTTGCTGCTGATTAAACTCGATAAACTGTCAAAATTACAATACCTTTACTATTGTATGCTAATGATGACTAAAGTTGCACCAAAGAAAACCAACAAGTAAAATGCAACAGGACAGCTAAATACACTCCCAAGTTCAAGTACCAATCCCTTTCCTTCTTCTTTTCCCTCTATACATAAGAGTCGCTCCTCTATACATAAGAGTCACTAACTTTTAGTTTACAAGTTCCTCTATACATTAGAGTACTTTCAATTTCATCAAAGCAAAGATGAAAGAAACAAAATGTATACATTTTCAGCTAGAAGCTTGGAGTTCTAGAGTTTACAGGCACTCCTCTATACGTAAGAGTCACCAACTTTTAGATTTCACTAACACTCTTATCATGTCAAATAACTCAGATCCAAGTGATAAGCATAAGTAACACTTCAAAATGTGGACAGGTAAGATAAGCATCCAGATTGTACTCTGCAAAGTTTTCGAAGCTAGTTCAGATGTATTTGTAATCCTCACAACTCCACAATTCATCCACAAATTTTTCGACATGATTAGGACCAACATAATGATCTGCTCACACATCATCTGCCTACACAAACTAACCAAAAACAATAAAAAAAAGAACCCTAAAACACAACAATTTATATAAGCTAAACAGCTGCAGAAATTCAAACACCAGCCAAAACCCATAAAAGGTTAAAGATTAAAAAAAAAAAATCAAATCAACAACATCATCTGCAGAAATTCAAACACAAGCACAACTTCGCAACCAAATATCAAAACAACAACATTGCAGCTACATTCAAACCACCACCACGCATCTCGAGCTCGAAGGCTCCAAATTCTCAACCAAATAACAAAAACCCACCAAATAAAACAAGAAAACAAAACATCAAAATCAAAGAAAAACAACTGAAAAACACGCAAACACCTGAACTTAGTGCCATAGAAAGCGTGAAAAGCTTGGAGCTTTTTCGCAAAAACATCTGGGCTTTGGATTATCTCTTGATACTCGGCTTCTGGTTTAGGGTAATCAGAAGTATACTTGGAATTAGGACTTTGAGGAGGTGGGTCGCCGTTGTTGGACATTTTAATGGTAAAAATTAAAAATAAAAAAAAATAAAAAAGGAAAAAGAAAAAGATGTAAATGCTTCTGATTAGAGTTGGGAAGGACTGTGATTTTAGGAATTTATGATGGATAATCCAATATTTCAATACAGATTACAGATGTATTCTATATTACGCCATAACCTAGAGTAATTTAAACGCTTGGACTGTTTAATTATCAAATTTTAAATATTTTTAATGCAGATTCAATTTCCAATTTCCTATAAATGGTTGAGGAAAACAAGAAATTAAGACCATTTATTATCTTTACTTTTTTTTTCTAACAAATTTTGCCATTTAAATTAAAGCTTGTTATTTTTTTTAATAATATAAGAGCATCTTTAACAATAACTCCTCGTAAACCTCCTTTTACACTTCCCAACATGCCACAACATCTAAAACCTCATTCTTACTCGTACACACATAAATCTCCAATAACAATAAATCTCATAACCCTACTTTTTATGGGTCCCACATATTTTTTAATTTAATTTTAATTTAAATATTGTTTGATTCATACTTTAAGTAAAACTTTATTTGTTACTTTATTAATAAAAAAGATTTCTCGAATAATTTAAATGTATGAAAAATGTTAATAGTGTTGCAAAAACATAAGATCATTTTTTTTTTTTTTTTTTTGTGTTTCAGTGATTTCAAAAGCAAAACCAATTTTAAATTTTTTATAAAACAAAATGTCTAGGGTAACCAAAAAATTAAAAAATTTAAAAAAAAAAAAACAGTGTCTGGGTGCATTTTAACTAAAAATATGGTGGCATAGACAGATTAAAGCATTTTAGAATAAAAATGAAGTAAAGGAAATGAAAAATTAGATAAATGACCAAGAATTGGCAATAGGCCATGTGGGTCCATGGGATCAATAAGGTCTCACTCTTTTATTGGCGCGTGACAACAAATTTTCTCTTTGGCCAATTCACGTGAGCTGCACACCAAGTTCGTGCAGTTTTACTTTTTTTTTTCATCTTTTTATATTTTTGAGGTTTAGAGGAGGTTTGGATTCACAAACTTGTTTTACATTCACAAACCTTAAACCTTTGCCAAATAATAAATAAACCTCCAGTGTTGTGTTTGTAAACCTCTTCTTAAAACCTTTTGATAAAGATGCTCTTAAGTATGGAGATGATATAGTTCCGTTACGGAGCTATTTCGTCGGGGTTTGTAACCGTTAGATCGTCTTTATTCGTTGGAGATAGTTGATCTAACTGGTTATAACGAAATGGTTCCGTAACGGGACAGTAGTATTTTCCGTAAGTATAATGTATGTATTTTTTTATAAATTTCGTAATATATATGTACTAGTACAACGCCCGTGTATTACACAGATGTTTGCTAGTTTTTTTTTCTCAAAATCTAAAATTAATGAGAAAAAGTAGTTGAAATTTTAAATACTTTTTAAAAAAATATATATATTATTCTATATTTAATATGACACTTTTTATTTGTGCGACTTACATGTGTTATATTATAATAATTTTTTAACTTACAACATATAACTAAATTGAACATAAATATATCAATTAATAAATAATTTTATTTTTCTAATGAATTTTAGTAGATATTATTATTTTTTATTATTATAAAGATAAATATAATTTATTTATTTCATATATACAATATGGATGTCAAATCGAAGATCATCAAAAGATGATTAATTTGATATATTATATATGTAAAATCAATAAGAAATACAAAAATTATTAACTTCTAAAATACACTAGTACAACACCCGTGTATTACACGGGTGCTTGCTAATTTTTCTTAAAATCTAAAATTAATGAGAAAAAGTAGTTGAAATTTTAAATACCTTTTACAAAAATATATGTATATTATTATATATTTAGTATGACACTTTTTATTTGTGCGACTTACTTGTGTCATATTATAATAATTTTTTAACTTACAACATATAAAATACATTAAAAATAAATATATCAATTGATAAATAATTTTATTTTTCTAATGAATTTTAATAAATATTATTATTCTTTATTATTATAAAGATAAATATAATTTATTTATTTCATATATATAATATGGATGTCAAATCGAAGATCATCAAACGATGATTAATTTGATATATAATATATGTAAAACCGATAAGAAATACAAAAGTTATCAACTTTTAAAATACATTTACAATTTAATAGCTAATTGAAGGAAACAAATCAAAGTCATAGATATATTAGTCACTTAGTGCCTCACTATGTAAAATTATAAATAATTAAAGGGTTATATTAGTACAAATGATATTAAAATACCTAAGTTAGATAAATAATATTTATGAAATGTCCGAACCTAGATTATTAATTATTAATATATCAATATTATTTGTCCAAACCTAATTACGAAGCATGATTCTTCGCCAAGTAGGATTACGAAGCACCGGAAGCAGCCACGTAGGCTCAGCGCATTCGAGAATTATATATAGGGAGGATTTACAATTCAATAGCTAATTATGGAAACAAATCAAAAGTCAGGGATATATTAGTCACTTAGTGCCTCACTATGTAAAAGTACAAAGAATTAATGAGTTATTTAGTAAAAGTGATATTAAAATACTTAAGTTAACTAAATAATATTTATAGAATGTACGAACCTAGATTATTAATTATTAATATATCAATATTATTTGTCAAAACCTAATTACGAAGCATGATTATTCGCCAAGTAGAATTGCGAAGCACTAGAAGTAGCCACGTAGACTCAGTGCATTCGAGAATTATATATAGGGAGGATATGTATTTTATAGTAAAAATTTGATTGTGTAAAGTTTAGTTTGTTTAACAACAATATATTATGGTGGGTTCCCTTAACCAAGCCACTGCCTATTTGTGGAGTAAGCTTAACAACAATATATTTAGTCGGTGCCTTGTTGATTTTGTGTAATTTTATAAGTGGTTGCGTGATGTCAATTGACGTCTCGATTATATTTATATTTAAATTTTATAAGATGCTATCGTTTTAGAAAAAAAATAAAATACATATTATATAAATCTATACTTATATTAAAAGTCATACTCCCTCCTATCTTTTTTATTTGTCATTCTAGCAACTAACACTCTAATTAAGAATTTTTGTTGTTGCCAATATTACCCCTATTTAATGAAAACTACTACTCCATTAAGTAACACAATTAATGATGATTAGTGTAAAAAGTAAATGATGATTAGTGAAAAATCAAGAGAGAGATAGAATATGAAGAGACATTGGAAATTAGATGGAGGGGTTAAAATTGGAAAAATATGAACAAAATAGCCAAAAAGACATTTATTTATTCAATAGTCAATTAAGATAGAATGACAAATAAAAAAGATAGGAGGGAGTACTATTTACCAAAAATAGTAGCAAAAAAAGTCAACTCACATTTAATGCATACTTTATTTAAAAATTTTTTATTATATGCATTAATTGCTTGCATATATACATTTTCTATTCAAATATGATCAAAAAGATTCTTTCCTTAAATAATTTTATTAACTTCTGCAATGATTTTATTGATATATATTATAATTCATATTTGTCGATAGTATTTTTTAATTTTTATTTGAGTATATAAAAAACAAATATTTTTTTTTTTAAATTAATAATTTATTTATCATTTAAGAGTTAATGATCACATTATTAAATGATATTACTGATGGCTAGATAATAAATTAAAATACATTAATTATTCTTTAAAATTTTGGCATGTTATTTATTTGTATCTATACTTATTATATAAGGTATCCTATTTACCAAATTTAGTAGATTGAAAAGTCAACGTAATTAACCCATTGCTATTTTTATCCTGAATTTTATTTTATTATTTTATTTATTTGTCTTATATCCCATAAAATCAGTTTAAGAAAAAAAAATCCCATAACATATGACAAGTCAAAAAAAAAAAAGACGTAAAATTTTTACTAAAATAAAAAGACTTTATTTATTTGTTTTATTCCATATTAACATCGATTTTGTCAAAATAAATCTCATAAAATCAGTGAAGTCAAAATTTGTACGTAAACTCTATCTATAAAAAAAAGTCAGATTTAAAATTCCTTATCTAATTCCTTTATTTTCTTATCTAATTCCTTCTTTTCCTTATCTAATTCCTTTATATTATCTAATTGTATGAAAATCTGTTCTAATTTTGTTCAATCCTTTAATTGTATTTGTATTATATTCCATAAAATCGGTTTAACAAAAAAAATCTCATAACATCCGATAAGTAAAAAACAAAGTACGTAAAATCTTTACTAAAATAAAAAAACTTTATTTATTATTTAATTTATTATCTAATTGTATGGAAATCTGTTCTGATTTTATGGTACGTACTACAAATTGTGCACACGTGTTCAGGAGCTACTTAACGGGCAAGCTATGTGAAAATGACTCATTTAGTGCTTTTGTCATGTGCATACGGTATCTATTTTTATCACACATACTAGAAAATTGTGCACTCTGTGCATCGCACGGGCTCTGTACTAATAAATGACCTTAAAATTGTGCACCCTGTGCATCACCCGTGTTCATATTTTGGCCTATTACAGGTCACGTACTATATATATCCCGTATATTTTTTTTATTCATTTATATAATTATAAGAATAAGAATGAATAAATGACCTTAAAATTGTGCACCACGTGCATCGCACGGGCTCTGTACTAGTTACTATTAAGCATCAAATAAAAAATTACTCAGGCATTAATTAAAAAAGCTTAAGATCAAAATAAACCTGATTATCAGCTGGATTAAATGAAGTTACCACCGCCCCTTTGCCTAACTCCATTAACATAGCACCCAAACACACTAAGAATTTCACAGCTGATTACGGTCTTGACAATCTGATGGAGATAAGGATGTTTATTATTTGTTTCCCTCTTTATTATTATTATTATTATTATTATTATTATTATTATTATTATTATTATTATTATTATTATTGTTATTATTAGTGGTATTATAGATTTGGTAGGAAACTTATT